GTCATTTTTTCAGGCTAAGCAGTAGGTGTACGAAAACAAGCCAGAAGTATTTGAGGAATCTTTGTCTATCCTGCAATATATATATCTCGTTATATTTCTGAAAAAAATGAGGCACTCTCCACTGTACGCGGATTGGTCCAACGACCTTGAAAATCAGCCAATCACGCTGAGGCTTTTCGCCAGCGGTTTCCTGAAACGGTTGGTGACTGCTGTTTGGTTAGTTCTGATGGAAATCCATTCCGTGAGCTCTTAGTACACACCCGTTGGCCACACACTATGAAAATATGATGTGTCATTTGGGGAGTATAGTATCAACCCTCATTGTTTTTCTTCAATCGGAAGTTATTCAATGCATTCCCGTATCTCACTCACATAATTCCTCTCAGGATGATGCCACACTGAACAGTTTGACAACCGACAAAGCCGATTCAGGATCACGATTAAAATCCATTTCACCCGTGTTGGGTAGAATCGGTTGGTGTGTTACCAAGAAACGACAGCGATGGATCGAAATCGGTCAGCTTGGATCCCATCAAACCGAACTGGGACTTGTCCAGTCCGGAAAGTTTCCTGTCCTCGGACCAAACGAAACATCGGATATGATCTACTGTTGTGGTCCGGTGAGGGAACAACACTGTTGTCGTCTTCAAGATACGTAAGTTTTTTTGGACTTTCATTCTTGACTTTGGCATGCTAGTATAATTATTCTATTGTCAGTAGGAGATAGAAAACTCTGCTGTGGTGCACCACAGAATGCGCAGGCTGTCTCCCGCCTTCTCTATTCAAAATCGTTTTTGGAAAGCGCTATTTTCGTCCTAATGAGGCTATTCTACTTTCTTGCGATCTACTCATTTGTACATCTGTACACTGCGAGCAGTGCTCACATTGTGGGACGAACCAGTGAGCAGAGCATGACATGACTTAGTTAAGTCCTCGTGATCAAAATTGTCAGAAAATGTGCTCACTACTTAACAATAGTAAAGTGTTTTGCCTAACTTTTAGGATTTCCGAATTGTATACGATCAAAGACCGTGAGGATTCGTTTTAAAGGTGTCAATTTTTAAATCAGGCCAAATCAGATTTGACCAGAGTAGCCATCTTCATTTTGATATTAATCATGATTGGGGTCACCAAGTAGTTGTATTGTTCGCAAAGGACCTAAAATTATGGACTAACTTGGATTTGTTTTCACCTTGTATGAATGTTCACGTGACTCCGAGGTGAACAGAAGAACCCTCGACCCAAAAATACAGGTCTTCCGTTACACAGTATCGACCTGGGAGGTTTTACAGGAAGATGAACTGTACCGGCTAACTGTGATATGAGGAGAGATGAAAAAACTTACCGACAAGCACTCTTAAATTAGGACAGTTGCAGTTGTCTAAGGAACATCAGTAAGTCGGAAAAAAACTGCGTAAAATATTTTCGGGGAAACTTTTTGCCCATCGATTGATCACAGTAACTGTACGAGTATAACTCATTCAATTATCAGGTTCCCGTTATCCTTTAGCTTCCTCGTGTGTGCAGTAATCGGCAAACTGGTTCTACATAATCCGTTCGGCTCATTATCGACTTCGTGTATGAATTCAGCCATCGGCTGGTGATGATTGGTTGTAATATGTGTTTACCATCTCCCGTTTATGAGTTTGTCATGAGTGCCGAATAGATGGGCTTTTGATGATGAATTTGCCTCTCATACTCAGGACATGCGCTTTTGAGAGTGGATTAACTGAGTAATATTCATGACCCAATACTGACGTGAGCAGTACTCACAAAGTCAAACAGCTATCCATATGAATAACAGGGTTACTGACATGCGCTCGAACTAAGCTGTCGGGGTGTACGAATTTATGCGCGATGAAAACGGTGGCTTTTTTGTAATGCGCTACTCATAAGGTTGGTGGAAACTCCTCGACAGCCCATGACCGGTTTTGCCCTTCTTGGGGCTCATCAGGGGACCTGGTGCAGCACATTCAGTTGCCAGGATACATCAAAACCGAGAGATTCAGCTGAGTTCCAGGTGAGCCTCTCAAAAAACCAAATTAGTTTGCAAGTATTTGCTAAAATGGTGGCTTGTTTGTAAACGCTCCTCCCTCATTCGGTCAATCGATATTTAGGGTTAATTGATGGATCAACAACCCTTATACGACATTCATGGTGACTTAATCATGTGTCCCGTTTAACAAGAAAAATCAATGGAAACTAAATAAGCTGCGAATAGAGATTGTCTGAATCTTGTTGATATCCATATTACTCAAACAATAAGGCATATCTTTGGGCAGACAATGTACAAATGACTAATTCATCCCGACAGAAGCTTCTATTTTTATGCGTATTGGATCTTTTCCAGATAAGCTCCGTCAAATAAATAACCCCCGCCACCCAAAAAGATTGAAAAAGAGGATATGAAGTGTATACTTTTAGTTTTTATTAAAGAGGGTGAAATTGGGACATGTCATTAATAATTTGCATGAAAAGGTCCTTTATTCGGAACCTTTGCCTCCAAATGAACTCACACAAGTAGCTGTCCACTAAAGATCGGTGTGTGCCGCATCGGCGTTTATTCTGCATCTTGTAGACGTGCCAAAGAGATTCGATGGTTTGTATGTGAGCTCCAGTCGTTGGATCCACAGAGTTTTCGGTATCATTAACTGTTTCACGAGTATAATTCATGTCAATCATCGTTTCCATTCCTTGGTACGATGTCCTTGGTATGATGTCGGAGATAATGCCTGATCCGGGAGTGATGCAGGCCTGGATTGTGTCCATCAAAGTGGCCCCAGTTTGCACAGGCGTTGCATGCATGAACACCAGTTTAGTTTCCCGGCAGATCGCTCCGAAAATCCATGCTGGAGAAGAACTCGCCCTGCGTGGTTTTTACGTATTGTCGTCTGCTTGTCATGAACAAGAGTTGAAAGTGTCAGAAAGTTCATTTACGGTTTTACAACTGAGCGAAGAAAATTTTGCACAAACTGAGCCCAAATGCAGATAAAGAATTGTTTCCATCAAAAAGTAGATCAGGGTTGTGTGCGTACATACTGGCAATAAGTGGCGGGGCTTGACGCTTCGCACATGCAATTTCAGCATTGGTGGCGAGGCTTATCTGGGAAAGATCTCGCGTACTTTTTTATCATCGGTAACTCAACCTAGAGAAGATTATTTGTTGAGCGACCTCGAGAGTTTGAGCTGTCCAGACGCCATTTATTATACAGTGGGAAGTTCCCGATTTTGTTGAGCAACACAGCGTAGTCATTGCTACCGCAACATGAAAGACTACTTGGTAACTACTCCCGTTTGCGCACGAATTAGGAGTTTGGGCAGGAGAAGTAACCTAAATGCAGCTGAATCTCTTGTTTATGGTGAAAAAGTTTTCACCAGCCCTATATGAGTAGTACGTTACGTCCAGACAACAACTGGATAAAATTCCATGAGGTCCTCTCCCTCCAGATGCCGCTGTGGAGAAAGTCATCCATTCGAATCGGCTTGTCCCACTCAATTCGGAACATTGCAACCATTGTGGGGATAGTTATTTGGGCCTAGGTGAATTAGTCTTCGCCATATGTCACGTGACCACTCACTTAGTCGATCGGTGCTCCAGACATGTGAGCGAATTTCAACCGGTTATATGTGTTCACTAATGCTGGTCATAAAGCTGTGTAGCTTGCCTCACGCAAATGCATGGGAGAGCATATAAATTCCCTGGGGAGGCCATAAATTTTTCACAGAACTTTTAACGAAACTAGTTGCGGTTTTTGTTTGGCATACGCTTTATTCAATCCTCAATTTTTTGTGTGACCAAGATGAAGATCAAACAGTGTTGTGTTTCTAAGCGCCAGTCAGATGGGTACTGTCCCATGACTGGAGGTGTAGCGCAGCGCGGTCGTCCTGTTTCGAACGCCGAATGGCTTTGGACGCTAGGTCTGCACTATGAGTTGCAGGCAACTAAACTGTAGCGTCAATCATCTGTGAATCACACGTTTCGTATCACGAGGGAAGACACGTTCACGAAAGGATCCTCAAACGAAGAACCAACAAGACTCAAAATAGTTTCTCTTCGGTTTACCCTGTTCATAAGTTTAGTGTGTGTTTTTCGAAAAAATATGAGTATGATTCCGTCAGCTCTTGTGAGCGAAAGAATGAAAACGGTCATTTCGTGCGTCATTTCGTGGGTATCGTCATCATTGTTATCAATATCATCATCATCATCATTAACATCGTCATCAGCATCACCATCACCATCATCATCATCATCATCATCATCATCATCATCATCATCATCATCATCATCATCATCGGA